ACGTATTATTAATGGTGACAGTGGGCGACCCAGGTTGGGCGGGGTACGCGCGCGATGCGCGGTCCCACCGAGATGTGGGCCTCGCTCCGGCCCCTCTTTCTCCCCTTCCTCTCCTCACCCCGACCGTTTCTCGTCTCTCCTGTGTTGCATACGCATCGCCTATGCAACGCACCGCGATTTTCTACGCATTTTATATCGCGTTTTCTGAATTTTAAGTTTGGAGAACGGCCGATCGCGCGCTTTTCTGGAGTCGAGGGTGTTGTCGGTCGTCGCTCAAGCGCGAGCTTGATGTTGTGATGGAAAATAGCTTAATCGGGAGAAATATTATGTTGATCCAATACCATAAAGATTTATTAGAGACTAGATCCGTGTGTAATTAAAGTCGACAAAGCAGACTGGAGAATTAAGCGGACGCTATAACTAGCTCCGCCGGCTCCGCGGCAAGGATCAATCGGTCGATCGATCAGTCGGTTATAGGTATTCTAAATGCCGCGTACGAGAAGTTTCTCGCTCGATTCTGAAAATGTCACGTGCCAGTCCGCGCGCGAGTGTCTGTATAACCGTCCGCGACCATAACGAAATTCCCGAAGTGCTGGGCAGTGCAGACACTCGGGAATGAGAGAGAGAAAGAGAGAGACGGAGATGAAAACGGCGAAGTTTAATCGCCGATCGCCGGCCGGGTGAATTACCGACGGGCGCGTGCGTAAATCACCGCGGAATCGTTAATTAGGCGGTAGAACGAACGAGCTTTCTGGAAAATGTCAACGCGGCTCGGGACGTCACGTCGGGCGGCGAAACGGAGAACGCGCGGTTCTTGCGCGACGTGCAAGAAGAAACTCCTCTCCGATCGGGACCTTTCGACACGCGCGATTTCGCTCGCTGGCAGTCTCGCAATTTGTCGCGATGCCCGACTAGCTAATTTATAATCTCTTCGCTAAGATGGAACTGCGTGAGTCGATAGAAATCGCGAAATGGAAAGCCTATTAGCATCGAACATTCTTACAAAATATCCAACGTTCGCCGCGTACACGCAGACGGGGCGCAGTTTAGCGCGGGGACTGAATACCGAGATGATTTCGTCAGCAATTGTATACCGGAGTGTACTTATCATGTATGTGCCTTCATTTTTATAAATTCGCGATGTTAAAAATTTTTAACAATGCCAGCATGGAAATTTTAATAATATGTAATCTTTTGATGATACCCCTAGTTGTGCCCACTTAAGAGAGAGGGGCACGCGTTCTTCATTGCGTTGCTCGATTCCAGGCGCGAGATACCACGAGATATCAGGGCGAACAAACTGACTCGACAGTTCGACCCAGACATCCTCCCCGGCGAGGACGCACCTACCTAATTCAACGGCGCGGCGCGCAGTCCGCTTTTGCCACGAAATATCCGAAATTAATGAAGTCGTCCGACCGGGCCGCGGCCTAAACGCAGTAAATTAGAGGTACACGCCAACCATTAGAATACTTAACGAGGACATCACGGTGGGACGCAGCGTGCGCGGGTGTGATGATGAATCACCGCCAGGGATAACACTCGCCGCTCGCGCGCGCCCAGGAATATTAAATTAAGTGTACTTATTGTTAGCCGAAAACCTCATTCGTGGTCCCCTTTTGCCGGGTAGTCCTCTCCGAGTTCCTCTTTCTTTTTTTTTGTGTGAGTAGCTTGAAGAGTCGGCTCACACTGTCCGGAACCCTGAGAGAGGAACGAAAAGTCGAGCTAGACGGGAGAACATTGTTGGGCGACAAAAGCCTTCTCTCCTCTTTCGCGAGAATCCTTTCTTTCTTTCTCTCTTATCTCTCTCTCTCCGCTTTCCTTCTGCGCCGCAGAAGCGTTCTCGAGGTTACTGAAAGCACCGTCGCGACTGTTTATTATCGGTGAATAGGGCGGAAGGATTCGGCATGACAAAAGTGCGATTTCGACAACGATCGATTTGCGCTCCTTTTCTCTCTCTCTTATTCTCCGTCCCTCCCTCTCGTGCGGAGAGAGAGTCCCCTGGGTCAACGGCTCTCTCCTTCTCTCTTTTTCCTACGGAGAGTTGAAATATACAAAATGAAATATGAAATAATGGTTCGTGCCTTGTGGCTGGCTGAAGGCACGGGCGCACCCATATCTACGCCCCCATGCGCCTATGTACCTTTACAAGACTGTACGCACAAGTATAGTGTGTGCGTATATATATAAATACATTATACGTATATACATATATATAAGTATATATTTTTTAAATATAAATATATATGTATGTATATATATTTTTAAATATTTATATATCTATAAAATTTGTTTACGGAGAGAATTTCCTTTTAAAATTTACTCTAAAAATCATGTTAATCGTGGGACAACCTAATATTTCGGCAAATTTTGTGTTTTTTTTCTGCAGTGCACTGCAATAAATTTGTTGTAATAGGGAAGAGTTGCCAAATGCGTACTGGTCTCATAAATCGTATCTCTTCAATATTTTATATAGTTCCACTTTTAGTAACAAAAATATGAAGTAAATAAGAAATGTGTAAGATAGACAAAAAATGAATAGGTTACATCTTGTTTTGCGCTATTTATGCTATCAACATTAAAAAAAATCAGATACAATTGATGTAAATTTTTGATCAATTTATATAGCTGATACTAATGTAACCATGCAATTTTTAATTGAATTGTTATTTTTTCTTAAGAGTAAATTTATTATAGAATATTTTATACATTCATCGTATATACATATTTACAATTCTAATAAAAATTATATTAATATTTTTATTATTTCTGTCAAGTTTCCTAAATCCTAACTTAACCAGCATAGTTCTTATATCGTATCGGTACAATTTAGGAACACTAATGTATCTTTATCTTTAGATCACATGACATAATCGACATTATTTAACACGATCGAAACTGTTCTGTAGCAAGTCTATAGAGGAAAAAACCGTCATCGAGTTGCGCAAGCAAAACAACTTGTTTGATAAATTACAAATAAAGTAGGTATTAATTCATGATTCTTTTATTAATCTTGTGTTTTTAATCATTTTCATTCATAAATTCAATAGTTTAAAAGGAGATACTATTATTAAAACTCACAGGTACGATTTAGGCGACCGGTTTGCTGAATCGTGCTTTCTGCAGCACATTACATAAAAGCTTATAACACATTAATTTGCTGTTAGCGAAAGGTTTAATATATAATAATAGATCCCTTAAACATGAAGCTATAATTTCTGACGTTCGTTTGCATTCCAAATAGTATCAAATGTGAAATATAACCAAAAATATCTTAAGTGATACGATTTCGGCAATTCTCCCCTACATGTTTAAAAAAATAGCGAAAATCACATGAAGTCGAAACTATGTTGTCCTACGATTAACATGATTTTCAGCGTAAATTTTAAAATAAAATTCTCTCCATGTTGGCTCCGCGTATATGTATACGTGCGCCGCATACGCCCGCGCCGTTTACGCGATATCCGCCTCGTGCTCAATTTTTTCGTTCTTGTCGCGAACATCTTACGTTCGTATTAACCCTTATGCCTCGCTTAATGATATTCCGGCCTACCATGTTGGCATATTGAACGCAACTAAGGCAGATTCCAGGCTTGGTCGTCGGACCAAGACCCGCCGCCGCCGCCGCCGCCGCCGTCGTCGACCAAGCCCACTTGTAAATACGTATATCCGTACGTGTGTATATACGCCGCGTATATGCGAGGAGAGATCATTTCTGTGCTCGTTTTGCACTACGTATATCGGGGCAATAGGGAGGAGAGAGAAATACTATCTCTCTTACTCTCTCTTTCTCTCTCGCGAATTAAGCGCGTCGTTAAGCTAAAGGAATTGACCGACGATTTTATCAAGATTTGGGATATCGAGATGCATACATCGTGGCCTCGCCCCATTATTGTTCAGGAGCGTAATTTATCGGAGATATTTATATGAACACGCAAGATTTCGCGTATGTAATCGTTATATTAAAACGCGGTGATGACGTACGATTTGAAAGGTCGTCCAATAAATTTATCTCTTCTAATAGCTAATAAACGATAGCTCTAATAAACGATAATTCATCGATTCGTTTCTCTCAAGTGTATTTCAATTCATCAAAGATTCAATTTTTGACTGAACAATCTTTTTCAACGCTTGCGACAAATACGTTCTCTACTCCAATCCGATAATAAAACCCGAGTTTTAATTTAAGATTTAGGCCGGGATATTACAAACTCAAGGTATTTTCATTTTTAACTAATAATAAAAGGATGTGATTTCATAAATAATCAAGTTATTATATTCAATATATTAATATTATATTCAATATTAACACGTTTTCGCCAATTCCAGCAATTTACATTTGTCAGTCTTTAAAAATTATTAAAATATTAAAATTAAAAAATCAAGCTCGTGTATTGCAAAACAATAAGAAAACGTTTAACGGCCAAGAAACGAGCAATAATAGATTTATAAATAAATAAAATATCCTTTAATGTCATATCATAAAATCATAAAAATGTTTTGTATACTTCTCAGAATTTTCATGAGTTTATAAAATAAATAATTTAAACATTGGAATTATATAAGAGTATAGTATCAAATAAATTAAAGTCATAAATAAAATACAGAATATAAGAAAGAAAAGGAAAATGACATTAAAGAATATTTTATTTATTTATTTATAAATCTATTATTGTTCGTTTCTTGGCCGTTGAACCTTTCCTTATTATCAAAATAGCTTTTAAAAGCACATTATGTAAGACAAATTGATTTATTGTAAGACAATATTGCATCCAAGAATTGCAGCGATATATAATCCGCATAATCTTCGGCATTTGATTGTATTACATTTTTTGTATTTTGACTGTTCATGCGGGGCACAGGCAGTTCCGGAACGCGACGGTAAGGATAATTCTATACATACTGTGTGTCGCTTAATCATTTTACACGCGCTTCATTCCCAGAGTTTTCTCCGTCTCGCGTATTTTTATCTGACGAGGCTTTGTTCGGGCTTCTCGCAGGAAAGAAGTGGCGAGGACTGACGCCGCAAGACAGGAGGCCCTACGTCGAGGAGGCTGAGAGGCTTCGGGTCATACACATGCAGGAACATCCGAATTACAAGTACAGGCCACGACGTAGGAAGCACGCGAAACGGACACCCGGTGCACCGTCCTCGCCTCCCTCAGCGACCAACACCGCGGGCAACAGGTCCAACCCTGCCGGCCCGGCGATTCATCATTCCATGTAAGTCGATACTCTGGCCCCGTACTTTCCGCTAATGAAGGTACGTGCAAGCTAACCGCTGCGGTTAATTGAGAGATTCCGGCGAGATTTAAACGAAGCGCCGACGACTTGTGATCTCGACGACGTTTAACGTTGTACTTGAGATTTAGTAATATCGAGCACTCGTCTTTTTATAAGAACTATAAATATATCGCGTGCGATTATAAAGCGATTACAGCGCATTACAAGTATATGCGTATAATCGAAATGCGTTCAAGGTCCAAGATGGACAGTTACCAGGGCATATCTCAGATCCCGTGGGGTGGCCATTCCCCGATCTCATCCCTGTATCATCAACAGCAACAGCAGGGTATCCAGGAGTACAAATCGGAAAATAATTCGCTCTACGGCAGTCCTTACACGCCCATCATCCACACCCCGGACATATCCCCGGTGGCCTCTCCCGAGCCCGATGGTAAATTTTTAAAATAAAAAATCGATCAAATAATTGAATAAATTAAAGGAGGATGTTAAAAGGGTCGATTTTGGCCCAAAAAGGAGTAACTAAAAATAATTCGTAGCGCTTGGGGAACACCTTGAAAATTGAGCATAAACACAGCGTATTTAGTAAAAACGTTGTGTTTATGCTCAATTTTCAAGGCGTTCTCCAAGCGCTACGAACTTTTTAATTTTCTATCGTATATAAAGTTCTATCGTATTCAAGAGTGCAAAATCTATAAAAAACACTATTGTTTTTACTTACATCTGTGGGGGCCAAAATCGGTTCTTTTTTTACGTCGTTCTTGTTAAAAAAAAAAGAGTCGATTTTGGCCCCCACAGATGTAAGTAAAAACAATAGTTTTTACTTACACCTTTTTGGGCCAAAATCGGTCCTTTTTTAACATTCTCCTTTATTATTCAAGTCTTATATATAAGCTAAAATGCAAGGTGTTTTTAAATGAATGGTGTAATCAAGAGATGATTTTTTTGTGAAAAAATAGAATAACGTAAAAAACGACTCGACGCGATTAAAATAATTATGAAATAATTATATAAGTCGAGATAATTTAATCTATTAGGTGACGGCGGTCATCTATCGTCCGCTCAGAATCCAGATCCAGAACGAGATCTGATGGAGGGTACCTCGAAGCAACACGGAGACATGTCTGATCAGAAACGATACACCTTTATGAGTAGCGACAATCAGCTACACACGGGTCACGCTAGTAACACTAGCATATCATCGTGTCAGAATTCCGGCGGTTACACGGATACCTTAACGTATAAAAAATCCGTACGTATTCCGTATATCTGATATTTCTATGTTACAATCTTCTACAAATTATCATTTGTCGAGACACAAATAATAATATAAGAATATATTTAATTACTTGATCTGTGTGTTCCAATTAAGTAGAATTAAATTTCCTCCTTTTTTCCATTTAAATTTAAATCTGGTTTGTGATCTCTTCGCGTCACGCCGAATTAATCCGCGTCGAGCGACACTTTCTGCAGGCAATTATTACGTTTCTCGTCACTCAGGTGGGCTATTTGAACTTCGAGAGACAGTCCACGAGCATAGCTGCGGTGGGTATAGCGAACGGTATGATGGTGTCGTGCAATAAACTACGCTCCGGTTTCGACAACGTCGGCTCCGTCACGGGCACGTTTTATCCACCAGTCGCCTCGCCGCACGATCAATCGCTGCAGCATTACAGCAGCACGCAGACGTCCAAGAGCACGACGAACTATTCGATGCAGTCTACCATCGAGAGCAATTACAATCCGGTCCAATGCACCGGTAATCGACAGCAGCCCATAGGGATCCGCGGAACCGCCGAAAGTTGCACCGGTAATATTTTTTGTTCTTGCACATTAAATTCAAAAGCTCGAAGAACTCGATTAGAAATGAAAGATCTTGACAGAATCAAGAAACGTATTATCCTTTCCAGAAAGATATTCAGTAATTTGAATAAGCTTAGAGAAATTATTTGAAAATAATTGCTTTTATTCTTTTTAAATAAAATCGTTTTTTCGAAAAATGGAAGTATCATAGAAATGCTGGGAATTTTCCGGATGTTTATTCAGCGAATGTCGATGAATTACAGTAGAGCTCTCAATAATGATGCAATTTATTCTCTCGATTTTTTTTATGTTCTCGTTCTCGACCTTTGATTTCTTGCAGGCACAGTGACGCACCGATACCAAATGCCGCATCATCAGGAGTACCAGACGGACGCGTCCTCCGGCCAACAGCACGCGATTCTCGGTCACATCGATCCCGGTATGAGCGCCGAGGACGATCAGCAGCAGACCCTCCAGCTGGAAAAATATTTCAAGTATTCCCATCCGACGAGCGTGGCGCACTCGAGCCTGTCCTCGCAGAGTATGTTGGACAGCAACCACAACTACGCCAGTGATCTGCGCTACTACGGGACACCGCCGCAGTCTCAGCTGGACATGCCGAATTCTCAGTGCATCGTCGACGATCAGGGCAACAAGGACGCTCGTTGTCCTAACGTCGCGATCGGCCACACCATGGAGCAGTATCATCCGGGACTGGAGGTGTCCAAGTATACGGACCATTCGGTGACGCAACAACATCAACAGTCGCAGCCGCAGCAACAGCAGCAGCAGAGCATGGAACATGTGCCCAAAGCCGACGACGATTTCAGTGTTATACTTGCGGACGTGCGCAAGACTTGCTACAGTAGCTAGTGTTTCTCTCCTTCTAGTGCACAAAACGATCCACACATGTTTTCGGGTTGGATTGATATGCGAATTTCAGGGACTCTTCTTTCGCCTACGGTCGGGATGAGCAGGACGCTTGTGCGCACATTTTAGGCCATCACGTGTGATTGGTGCTACTCGAAAAACTATATCGAAACATTTTTATCTCGTGATAAAAGGTACGTTCTTTTCATTAACTTCGGAAACAATATTTTAGTTTAGAGTCTCTTCACACGTGGGCAGAGGATATTGTTTTGCAACTTTGTTCAATTTCCAACACCACAAAAATATTTAATTGCAGTTTTATCTTTTGGAAACTGTCTATGAGTATCTCCTGTGTATAAGCGATCTCTTGCGGATTTCAGTACAACTGAAATTACATTCATGCGAGTCAGTGGCGTATAATTGTCGCCTGTCAGCAAGTTGCGGTAAGCAAAATTGCGATAAAAAAAATGATACGAATATAACAATACGATACAAACAAATGATAAACTGCCTGATATGATCAAGAGTGTCGTCATATTTCGTTATAATGAACATCGTTTTGTTGAAATTTTTTTACAAGATATTAAACTTCCTGGATCTCTATCTTATCTACAGACTTCTATGAACACTTTAGAAACCTCAGAAAACGTAATGATAGGCGGCTGATGGTGCACGGCTAGTGTAGCATTAAAATTGCAGAGAGAATCGTATACTCACATAGATTGTCACATTATTTTGTCACATTAGTTTCATTATCAAAGATAATACAGTAGCAGAGATATAATAGCGATAGCTAGATATTAAATTTATGTTATTATATTAGAAAACTTGTTACATGTCAAGAAATGTTTTGCATCAGCAAGTCTTTTCGTCTTTACTCCGAGATAGCAGCATTTACTTTCGGTGCTACACCACTGTGAGCTTTATCGTCCAAAAGCTTATTTTTTTTATCGTTTTATAAACGATGATTTACACAGTGTATGTTGTTTTGTTGTAAATAAATTTTTCTTTTCTTGTTCATCAGGGTGGCATTTCTAGTAGCTTGTGCGAATTGCACATTTCAAGTTTTATAGAAATGCAAAGTGGTGCAAAATGTCTTTGATGTGTATAGAGATGTGTAAAGAATTCTGGGTAAAACTAAATTATTATTACACTTATTATTTTGCTATTATCATATTACTTATTATTAACATTATTATTAATATTATTATTATTATTATTATTAATGTATCGTACTTAATAGAATCAATTATGAACAAACATTTATCTGCATATCTTCTTCAAAGAATATCCTTCCACAAAGAAAAATATAACACGTTCTCGACGCGTTTTATATTGTGGAAATTGTTAATTTTATCATATGTATGTAGCGTATACACACATTGATAGGTACATACAATATATGTATGAGACACGTATAATTTATATGTATGAGATACATATAAATTATATTGTAAAATATATGTTGTCCATACATCTACACCCTCATCTAAAATAAATTTCTCATTGAGAAATTTGATAAAATTAAAAACTAAAAACTTTTTGAGATTTCGTTTTTACTGATCCACGTCATTAAAACACACACATGTATGTATATTAATACTTTTTATTAAATATATATAAAAAATATGTGTATAAGATACAACATTATGTGTAAAGCTGAAATCATACATAGTGTAGTGATACCCATAAATTACATCAAAGGGGGTTGATACAATAGTTTAAATATTGACAAATATTTCTCTCATTTTCCATTATGTAATTATGACGCTTCTCGCGTTAGAAGGTCTCAGCTAAATTGGTAAAGTCTTTTACCAAATAAATATATTTATATATATATATTAAACAACAGGCACGTGAAGAAAACAAGTATTAAATAAATTATTATAAATATTTCGTAATATTTCTATAATAGGATATTTATAAATATCCCCTCTCTAGAAATTGTTATTGCACATATCGCCCTTTCTAATATCCATTACAAAGCCACTATTGTAACTAAAATAGTAGATGCTGAAGGTGTACCAAAGTAAGAAACTTTTTAAATAAATTTTCCAAGTCTCTTTCTTTGAATCTATATACATATATCTCTCTACAATCAGTGCATTATTTAATTCTTCTGTCACATTTTATGTATTAATCCCCATTGATTTACACGTAAATATAATTGAGTTGTGCGACGTATATCTGCTTTATTATTACAGTATGGCATGTGTGTAAACGAGGCTAACGTCGCTCAATGCAATTTATTAATCGTTTGCAGTCAAACCAAGATCTTTACTGAGACAAAGGAATAAAAAAATTGATTCTTTTTTAATAAAAATCTTCTTGAAATTATACTAGAATTTAACTTCAAGAATATAAAATTTTTCTATTGTCTTATGTGTGTTATATACGGAAAAAAACAGTAGTAGTCAGTTCTGACAATGAGTGAAAAGAAATATTGCTTGTTGTAGATTTAATTACATATATACTTTAAAAAAAAAGTCATATTTGATATTTTTAAAAAATCTTGAAATCAGTAATAAATTTGATCGTTAGAATAATTTCAGTAGCGCTAATCCCGGCTCTATTTTACAGCGTATCGTGAATGCCTCAATTTATTACTATTTCTGTGTTCGTAGCAATCGACTGCTAGAAGGATAATAGATGGCGAGGTCTATTTGGGGAATCGTGCGGAGTACATTCTCCTCGGCACGGTTAACACATTGCATTGTACATCTTCTATTTGCAGTATAGTGGTTGCTGACTAAAACGATACTAAATACTGCTAGATGTTTATCGTAAGTGTTTCGTGAACGTCAGATTACAAGCGTAAGTATACGTATGTATTCCCTCGCTTCGAACAATTTCTCTCATACTGTAAATATAACGTATGTCTGAGGGATTTCAGAGAGCAATGGCTTAAACCATTATACGTTAAATGGACAGATTTTGCAGTCTTATTCACAATGATTCGCTAGATATATATTCTCTCTCTCTCTCTCTCTCTCTCTCTCTCTCTCTCAATGGAACGTGTGCAAAGACATTCGTTACAAATTCCAGATACTTAACGTATCAATATAAATCGATAATAGTCTTATAAAGTCTCGCACGGCACTGCAAATCTTACATAAACTGTACAACTTTTTTTTTGCTATTAACACGAATTTATATGTACACGAATTTATTTTTCTAGGTATCTCATCGGTATCTTGTTATTTGTATCTCTGCATATACGTATCTGCATTATGTACAATTACAACATATAATGTACACACGTACAATGTGTATAAATGGCAGCTTTACAAATCACGTATAAAATTCTCTACGTACAAATTATCTTGACTTTCTGTTTGAAAAAATGAAGGAATAGATTTCTGTGCTTTGAATGGATTATTTGTAACATGTAACCAGTATGAAAAACATTCAATATAATATACAAAAATTAATGGGTATATAATTGGAATGATTTTTCGTCGTAGATATAAATAACATAAAGATTGGGAATGTAATTCAGATAAATTCAATGAAAGTAAATGCGAATAATATTCTGGAACATGTAATTGTTGATCACAGGAAGTAAATGTTTCACGTATTTCTATCTATATATGGACCGTTTTGAATTTTTTAAATTTCTTGTAGCAGGATACCAAATTCTATAAAAGTAGAAGACTCCTGCCTAGTCAGCCACGAACTCCGCGTTGATGGTAGCGACACTATTTCGCGAAATTAGAAGCTTTGTCATACTAGGCTCGTTTTATATGTCATATGTCGGTATTTTAAATTATAAACCATGATAATGCTACAAAATATGCCGATATCATAAGCAGTAAAAATTGATCGATCACAGTCAAATGTGAAGAGAATACATGATTTGAAGAGAATAACGGACCTACTGTGAAAAGTGTTGACGACGCATTTGTCTTACGTGCCATTTCGTTATCATGTGTTTAATTGTGAAAATGTGACTTGTATCGTACGACTCAAAGTCGTAAAAATGGATGGAAACTATAGTTATTATTAAATTTTATACATAAAAACATCTTTTCCATTCGTTTCAAATCGTGAGTTTTCTTGCCTGAATAAGCTTCACTTTATGTGCCTTTTATGACTATTTACTGACTTTCAGGGGGGAAAAGGATAGTTTCCATCCATTTTTACAAGTTTTCTAAAGCGATCCCATTTATTAATTTTATCCAAATCCTCTTTATTTAAATATAAAAATGGCATGCAATAAACTTTTATGTGTCATTTCTCGCTGTTTCTCGCTTCCAATATGACTGCGGTAACTAAGCAGGAGCCTTAAGAGAATGCTGAAAGGTTGGAAAAATTTGCACGATGTCGATAAAACAGATTCTTCAATGTTAATGATATTTCTATCTAAATAAACTTAAGTTCTTA